GAGATCATCTCCAGACTTATGAGCTGTTTGATTGATTGATTGACATTTAATGATCTCACAGTGGACAAATGTACTCGTTACATCAGCGCAAATAGCCAAAGAAGAAGAATGTGCCAAAGGAAGAAAAAGGTGCGTGGGATATATACATTATATACAGTACAGTGCGTCCACATATGACATATTTTTCTTTTTTTTATATAGCAGGATTATTATAGAGGGTTATTGCAGAGGGTGTATACATGGGTATTTATATACCCATATAAGTTGGAGAATTGCTTTGACAAACTCTGAAAATCTAAATATGTTGTTGATTATTCTGCCAACGACACATTTTGCAGAATGTTTATGCAAAAAAATCCTGATCCTGTTAAATTTAACCAGTTTTTTTTTTATTTGTCCCATCAGAATAATACCATGAAGGTAAACGCACATTAATAATGATGAACTTTAAAATTGGTGCCGAATTTAGCCCCATGTAATAATATTCACAATCCTTCACTCGTTTTTACACTTTCAAATATTACAATCAAGAGTTGGTTTTGTTTTTTACCTAAAAAAAAGTGGAGAAAAAATTGAAGTTGAAATTAAAACTGTTACAAAATGTAACTTTTTAGCCTATTGAAAGTACAGTCTTGGAAAAACCAACACTGGAAACACAATCGTCAAGGAAAAACAATGGTGGCAGGATCATGCTGTGAGGACGCTCCTTTCATTCATCGAAGACAGCAAAGCTGGTGGGAATTGATGGATTGGTGGACGATCGCAAGACGTCTCAGTGTGATACATTTGAGAAGTCCCCTCTGGAGTAATCCCAGTGGAGTACAGTGAAGCTTCAGATCAATGTCTTCACAAACTCCAACCTTATTGTTATAGCAATGTGATCAGCTTTGCAAATAAAACTGGAGAGCAGCAAATTAAGATATGCTGCTGGGTGTGAGGAGATCAGACGTATCTTTTTTAGACAGTGCTGAGATGTAAATTTCAAATACATGGAGCAAATCTGTCCTTTTGAAGGCTCAGTGAAATGGCTAAACAGGAAAAAAAAACATGTGGACAGTTTTTTGTCATGTTAAACAGTGGTGTCAAAAGTTCACAAATTTGTTACTTAAGTAGAAGTATAGATACTGCAGTATAAAAACACTCTGGTAAAAGTTGAAGTATCAACTTGACCTCTTTACTCAAGTAAAAGTGAAATAGTATGTGCTCCAAAAACTATTTAAAGTATAAAAGTATAAAGTAACCTTTAAAAAAACCACAAAAAAAACCCATCCAGATGCCACTATATGAACTGAAAGCTAAATTCTTCGTCTATTTTGAAAAATTCTTTGATATAGAGCCAAGGATGAGGGAGGTCTTGTTGGTCTCCATCTCCCGATACGCTCTCACCTGTTTCGACCTTTCAGACATTTCAACATATTTTTCTGAATCCGACATTGTAGCATGGCATAGACGATTCACGTTTGCAGTTTGAAGAACACCTGCTTGCTTCTGATGATTTCCTTTAGCTAACCAATGAGCGTTTGCGTTATATGACTCATCCAGTTACACTAGTTTTCACTAGACGTGGATGGTGCCAACGATCTGTATTGGATGGCGCACATGACGTGAAATAAATATTTATAAACTTTAAATCGAAGCCATTAAACCGTTTGTTTGAAAAATGTAAGGAATAGAAAGTACAGATACCTGTGTGAAAATGTAATGAGTAGAAGTCAGAAGTAGGAAGAAAAAATAAGTAATGGAGTATAGATACCTAAAAAGTGTACTTAAGTACAGTAACGAAGTATTTGTACTTTGATACTTGACACCTCTGATGTTAAAACAGTAAAAGTATAACTTAATAATGCCTGGATTTAGTTTCTGACTTGATTAACTATATTCTCTCCCAGACATAATAGCTACGTCTCAGCTTTTAATGGGACTAAATGAAAGTGATTTCCTGAAGAGTTAAGCAGAGCTCATTTGCTGAACTTTTGCTGTCCTACTGTTACTTTTTCTGACATAGAAAGTATTTATGGATCAGTGCCATGTTAATTTAGTATGTCTGCTTCTGTCTCCTTTAGCCCTCAGTAATTCAGAACTGTGAGAATTTTTCATGTTAAAAATTATTTTTTTCTCTCCACTGTTGCTGCATGCATACTCGGTGTGAGGTATTGTCAATGACACAGTGCAATTGATGGTCTACTTTCACCACCACATCTAGAAGGAGTGTTTCCCCCAGTGACTCAATGCAATCAGCTGGTTTTCCTTAGATAGAAAATGTTAAACCAATCTGACTGGATGATCTGGTTGTCTGTAAAGTGCCTTGAGATGACATGCGATATGGGATAGAATGCTTACAAAGCCTGCAGTATAGATAACTGCAGAGGTTTTCTTTTGGGACATCCTTTGAAAAATTTGAGCTTCATGAATGCTGTTGGACAACAGAAAGAAAGGGACACATTGTTCCAATTCTGAGTGTTGTGCATTCAGTAGGAGTACGTTTTATAACTGAATTTAAAGGCATTTCAAAGCAAAAAAAAAAAACCTTAATCCCACAAATTTATCAGCACCACTTTTACCAATGTATAACTTATCTTGTGATAAAGGTTAAAGAATAATCCACACAAATGTGATGGGTTTTTTTTATGTGTTGTAATTATTATACATCAATGGCTCGATCCAATCAGCTGGGTTTCCTTAGATAGAAAACTTTGAACCAATGTGTTTGGATGATTTTATTAACTTGTCTCCATAAAGAGTCTTGAGATGAAGTTTGTTGTAAATATAAATAAAGTGATTTGAATTTAATTAAAAAAATACCCTCTGCTCTCAGAAATACTTGTTTCCATTGGCTGTAACACATATAAATACCATTTAAAGTTTATATTGTTCTCTTTCTCCTCACCAAATGCAAAACAGAAAACTATCCTGCCTTCTCCTTTTGGCTGAAGCTCTCCTCCTTTTTCTTTCCCTTCTCCCTCTGCCCTCTTTGACCTTTCTCTTCTTCCTGTCCCATCCCCCCACTGCAGCCTAACCCCCACCTCCTTTTATTCTCACTCAGGGCAGTAATGCACCAAATGCAGAAGGGGCCACCATGCAGCCCCCCTCCTACGCTGGGTTGTCCTTTGGTTTGACTGATCATGGTGCCACAATAAATTACAGCTGCTTTTAGCTGGGTCTTTTTTGTCCACAATGACGAAACAGTTAGGGAGCTGCTATTGCTTCCAATGAAAGACTTAACCACACAACCGCATGGGGTACCTGTTCATATTTGAAGCTTAAGATGTTAAAATCCGCTTTGGTTTCTGTTTTTCCTATGGTTTACTTACTGTGTAGCAGTGTTTACACGTCCTCTACACAGTAAGAGGCTCTGTGTGTGAGCTTTGGAAATGAAGAGAGGTCAGCATTGCAGCGGCAAACTCAAGTAGTCTCAACTGTCTTTAATATGCAGAGAGGTTTTAGGTATGTCCTGTTAAAAATAATACAAAAACATAACCATGCGCTTTGGATATTGTTCCGAAAGAGCCAGATTGTCGACTAAATTCATTCTGAGGATTAGATCTTTGGGTTTTAGAAACTTAAATTTTGACATTTTTGTTGCAACATACACAGTAATCATTCAAGCAAGAAAAACAGCATCTTTCAAGAGCTCAACTGGCTTTTGGAAAATAAATAACACATCTACACCCATTTATTCATATAAAAACATATCAATAAAGTTGTAAAAACAACAATCTCTGTCTGGAAGATCAAAGAGACAGTTTCTGCCCATGAATGGACTGGAAACATTTGCAACTGAATGTTTTAATTGTTGTATTTTAGACACAGTGGTTCTTTTTAAGTTTGAAAGAGTCTTTCAAGTTTTAACTATGTACAATTAAACAATGCAAACACTGATTATTATGAAAAAAGATGAAGTTAAATCACTAACATAAATAAAAAACAAACAAGGAAATGAAGGAAAGCAAGAACAAAAACAAACCAAAAACATTAAGAGTTCCTATATTTATATTTGTAAGACCATAGAAATATTGCTTGAGGCAGAAATATATATCTTATAGCATGTTTTTGGGAAATAGAATAGAAAATCCCTTTTTTGTCCCACAATGGGGAAATTCTGATGTTTACAGCAGCAAAAAAAATCATAGAAAAAAATAGTCAAACGAATATGGACCTTAGAAAAATGTCTAAGAATAACATAATTATAAAGAGTTAAAAGATAAACAATAACATACTTTACTGTAAAGTGTTTTAACAGTATGAAATACTGGTATTTGTTTTTTATTTATTTATCAGAAACTAGTAATTAAAGAAGAACAAAAAGTAAGCAATCTAACTGTCATTTTATCAAACAAAAAAGTAAAAGAAGGATGGTCAAAAATCTGAATTTGTTCAGATTCTTTTCTTTTCATCATTAAAAATAATCAAAACATAAAATCACAAGGAGAAACCAAAAATTGACCAATCTACTAGTAATCTGAAAACTTCCATGCTTCCAGTATCACAAAAGCAATCTATATGAATGTACTTAGAGTAGATTGCTCATATAAGATTATTTTCATAATTGTCTATTTTTAATGGTGAAAAAAAAGAAATCGAAACTATTTTTGTTTTGCATAATTTAACTGATTATTGATGTGAGAATTCGATTCTGAAAAAAATGCCACTCTGTCGTCAACAGAGATTTTACTTTTTAAATAACATCCAAAGTGTAAAAAACTTCGTCTGTTATTAAGTGTTGGAGGAAGAAGCTAAAATATCTAATTAAAACGAGCGAAGATCCCTCTAGAAAAGTTAATTGTTAGGTTAAAAAAATCTCTGGTGTAATGTAATTACAGTAACATATTTTCCTGCGGTGGGGAAATGAAGACCAATCAACATCGAGTCCTGTAGGAAAACAAACTCTCCGATTGGCTGAAATATGGAGTCGGTTTCAAGGCCGCCCGCTCTCGATGCAAAAGAAGGGGGGTGTCTCCTGAATGGAATGGGCGCCTGGAAACCGGCGGAATCCTCACGGAGAGAGGGGAGCGAGAGCCTCTGGACATCCAACCGCCCAGCATGTGAGCCGACGCTCGGTGTGAAGTTTAGCCGAAAAGCCGTGGAAATACCGTCCGGTTCTGTGTCTGGTTTGGGGATTAACTAAAACCCGAACCCACTGAGGTTTTTTGATTTAGATTTTTCTTTTTTTTTCGACAACGTAAGCTGGGGTGCAGTTTTTTCCACCGAGTGTGAGTGAGGAGTGGACTGCTGGAGTCACTTACAAAGAACATTAAGAAGTCATGACACGACGAACGTTTTCCTTGGATTTATCTTCATAAACTACAAGAAAAAAGTCGGTATAAGACGCTCAAACTCAAACAAAGTGGACTAAAAGTGAGGAGTTTGGACGATTATTGTGGAATTTTCGTCGTTTTCGGACGTTTTTAAGTCTCCATACTTGGATCAAAGTTTTCCTCTCCCTCCCCCCGCCTCCTCCTCCTCTCCAGCTATGGCGGCGGCCAGGTTCACCGCTGGCTCCGCGGTATTGCGGATCATGTGGCTGCTGTGCGGGATTTCGCTCTCCCCCACCTCTTCTGCTCAGCATTACAACAGCGATAGCGGAATATCAGTCCCGGAGCACGGCTTCTGCCAGCCCATCTCCATCCCCTTCTGCACAGACATCGCCTACAACCAGACCATCATGCCGAACCTTCTGGGCCACACCAACCAGGAGGACGCCGGGCTGGAGGTGCACCAGTTCTACCCGCTGGTAAAGGTCCAATGCTCTGCGGATTTGAAGTTCTTCCTTTGCTCCATGTACGCGCCTGTGTGCACCGTGCTGGAGCAGGCCATCCCGCCCTGCCGGTCGCTGTGTGAGCGGGCACGGCAGGGATGCGAAGCCCTGATGAATAAATTCGGCTTCCAGTGGCCGGAGCGCCTCCGCTGCGAGGCTTTTCCGGTCCACGGAGCCGGAGAGATCTGCGTCGGCCAGAACACATCGGAACCGGGCGGCCCAGCGGCCTCATCAGCCCCCCCACAATCACTGACCCTTCCCCCTTTGAGCGGCGGGCCGAACCCTCCTCGCCCTCCTATGCCCATTCCGCCCAACCAGTTCTCCTGCCCCCTGCAGCTGCAGGTGCCTACCTACCTGGGCTACAAATTCATGGGGGTGAGAGACTGCGGCGCCCCCTGTGAGCCCACCAAACCCAGCGGGATCATGTATTTCCGTGAGGATGAGGTAAAATTCGGCAGGCTTTGGGTCGGGATCTGGTCCATACTGTGCTGCGTGAGCACCCTGTTCACGGTGCTCACCTATTTAGTGGACATGAGCAGGTTCAGGTACCCGGAGCGACCCATCATTTTCCTGTCCGGCTGCTACTTCATGGTGGCTGTAGCCTACGCTGCTGGCTTCTTCCTGGAGGACCGGGTGGTCTGCGTGGATAAATTCAACCCGGACACCTACAGGACGGTGGCTCAGGGGACCAAAAAGGAGGGCTGCACCATCCTCTTCATGGTGCTGTACTTCTTCGGCATGGCCAGCTCCATCTGGTGGGTCATCCTCTCCCTCACCTGGTTCCTCTCAGCCGGGATGAAATGGGGTCACGAGGCGATAGAGGCCAATTCCCAGTACTTCCACCTGGCTGCGTGGGCCGTCCCCGCCATTAAGACCATCACGATCCTCGCCATGGGTCAGGTGGACGGAGACGTGCTGACCGGGGTGTGCTTCGTGGGGATCTTCAACGTGGACGCGCTGCGCGGCTTCGTGCTCGCGCCGCTATTCGTCTACCTGTTCATCGGCACGTCCTTCCTGCTGGCCGGCTTCGTGTCACTCTTCCGGATCCGCACCATCATGAAGCACGACGGTACCAAAACGGAGAAGCTGGAGAAGCTGATGGTTCGGATCGGGGTGTTCAGCGTGCTCTACACGGTGCCGGCCACCATCGTGATCGCCTGTTATTTCTACGAGCAGGCCTTCAGGGAGCAGTGGGAGCGCACCTGGCACATGCACACCTGTAAGCGCTTCGCCATCCCCTGCCCGGTGCACAACTTCGCCCCCATGAGCCCGGACTTCACCGTGTTCATGATCAAATATCTGATGACCATGATCGTCGGTATCACCTCCGGGTTTTGGGTCTGGTCCGGGAAGACTCTGCAGTCATGGAGGAGTTTCTACCAGCGCGTCAGCAACGGGAACCACGGAGAAACAACGGTGTGAAAGCCAGAGATATCAAATGAGGTCAAAAAGCTTTCATTTCAAAATCCCTACAAAAAAAACTAAATTTTAGTAGTTTTTTTCCCCACTGTTGTGGCAGCAGCACAACATTTATAAGGAAGTTGGATAAACTTCCAATATATTCATTTTTTCCTATATTTTGTCATCAAAGCAACCTGAAGCCATGGCTTTAGTACACTTGGACCATAAACTGATCATAAATGGCCATGCAAAGACTTAATCCTATATATACACACATATATTCTTATGTTACAGTTCGAATGTACGCCCTGTTCAACTTTAAGTTTGTCAGCGGACTATAAAAGAAACAATTTTTCAATAAGGATGTTTGGATTATACATCAATAACTTGAGTTTGCAGAGTGCATCCTCATCTGTTTTCCAAGGGGAGCAATAATCATCTTTATCATCTGTTGATATGTGCCAAGGGGCTGCCTAGATTTCCCTTTTTATATATAAAAAAAAATCTCTCCGACTGATGAATATTCACTTCTTGTTCTGAATGTTCACTCTGAAGTTGAATGAAGTTATGTACTGGTTTGCACACTGATTTTAAATGTAACTGTTACACCACAGATTGACCCAGATCTGGCTTTTTTTTTTATTTTTTATTTTTTTAAAGAAGGCCACACACACACACACACATGCATGCAGAACCTGGAGACACAACGGCTCATTGTTAGTCTCTGTGTGTGGTCTCTGCTTTTGGATTATCCATCAAAAAAAACTTCTTTTTTTTCTTCTTTAAATCCCTTAAGACACCCAAAGCACCATTTCGGTGATCCAGATTTAATCCGTGGGAGAGCAAATGGTTGTTCTGGAGCTGTAATGTTATTTTATCCCAGATAAAATGACTGTAGGCGAAGTTAGCTTCGGTGTAACTCATCGTTTTTCTTCTCATTTCACATGAAGTGTTACGTTCTTGCAAGCCGACTGAACATTTTTAGATGTTTTATTTACTTGTTTTGAGTATTTGGTTTGTTTTGTTTTTTATTTTTTCCCCCATCGGCCTTAAAATCGGAGTTACATGTATGTTCTCTGTTACAGGACTCCGATAAATAGTCAGGAGGTCAAACATAGCAGTGTTGGTCTGTTTAGCAGAGATTTTTTTTTTTTCTACAAAGATGGAAGATATGTTAGAAAAAAGCAGGTCACAATGCAAAGGTTGTGATTCTAATAGAGAAAATGGCCTCAGCTGGTTTAAATTAAAGGTAACCTTTAGTGTTTTTGATACAAGATTTTATAGAAATAACACAAATAGGTTTTGAAGCAGAGATTATTTTTTAAGTGAGACGCCTCCTGTTGAATGTCTTCATCTAATCTTGATCCCATCATTAGGGGAACTGCTTACTGGAGCCGACTCCACGCCTGCAGCGTTTTTTAAAGAAAGTGACTTCCTCGTTCAGACTAAACAATGAAATTAGCGTATTTTTGTCGAGAGTCAGCTGCAGGCTGGCGTATGACTGCTAGAACCGTCTGTTTCTTGTCTCGTAGCACATTTTCTCCACATGCTTCAGTTTTAAACAATGAATGGGAGCAGTCTGCAGCGATGAGGGACACGTCACAGCAGCCTGACCCTCTACAGACCTGGCTTTATGATTTCAATTCCCTAAAGGTGCCATTTTTTAAATATATTAACACTAAAACTGTGCATACTTTATACATTCATGCTGTATTTGTATATACAATGCTGTTTGTTTAATGTTTTTTTCCTCCTCACATGGATGTACTACATACCTCAAGCCCTGGTTAATTTCTGCTCATTTAGTCATTACATTTTTACCAAACAAGTGATTCTGTTACTTTTCCCAGACTGACATGTTTTGTTTTTGTGTTCTGTCCTCAGAAGGAATACCAGTTTTTTATGTCTTCAAGTTTTAACAGGAACATATGCAAACCAGCCAGCACACAGAGACTCTGATTTTTAAAATGCATATTGTATTTAAGGGGGGAAAAATACTCATTTTTTGTCTTTTTTTTTTTTCTACTTGTATTTTTCTAAAAAAACAAAATGAGATAAGCCCATTTTACATGTACAGTTTGAATAAACGTGATAAAGTTTGTAATGTGGTGATTATCATTTGTGAGGCGAGATAAGTTGAGGTAGTTGACAAAACAAGCGTAGGGCAAGTGGACCTTGAGTTCTTGTTTTGTCAACATGAGGAGTGTTTATACTGAAAATAACTGATAAGTTAGCCTTCAAATCAGAGCTCGGTGTCGGATAACTCTTTCAGCGAGGTTACAAAATCTGTCTTTATCAACGTTTCCAAAGACATCCCCAAAAAAATGTTTGAAATCGGGACAACTTAACTGTGCAGCTGCGTTTGATAACTCAAATAGGATAAGTCCAGTTCTTACACACACTTTCAACACAGCAAAGAAATAAAAACTAAAAGCCAGGGAGATAATCCTATAAGCTTATTATAGCTGATTTGATTTCAGCAGACCCTTGTTTACGTTGAGCAGTCTATAAACAGATAATGGAAAGGATAAAGATGCATATAAAACCTCTGAAGGGGTTAGATCAGCTGACTGGAAGCTGTAAAACATGAGCCGCATTAAGGAAATCAACACTGATTGGAGTTGAAGCTGTTTTACGGTTGCAGGCCTTTTCACTTGAGCCCTTGTCCTTACTTTTATTTAATCTGTCGATCCATTATTATATCACTACGCATCAACACTGCAACTTGTTTTCAAGCTACTGGCGAGTCGAGAATGAAAGTGACAGCATTTGTTTTTCAATAAACGGTACGCAAATTAAAAGGTGTAACTTAATCCTTTAGAGGAATTTTTATTTTGTGCTCTGCCCTGATGCTTCCTTAGAAACAAAAGAAATATGTCATCATAGTTTTGACAATGATTAGCTGCAATCATCACTATAAACCACTATTCATTCATTTTCTTTAACCTTAATCCCTTAAATGACAGTTTTAAGAATGAATCAGACAAACAATTCATCTTATTGGGCAAAAAAGCACAAGATTATAAAGATAAAATGTTTTTAGAGTGTTTTATCAACAAAAAAAGGTTATTTCTTAAAAACTGTTTCCGTCTCTAATAGTGACAGGACTTTTCCTCCACATTCGCTGTGATCAGTTTTAAATCTTTGTCTAAAGTTTATAAAAATGCATTTATCTTACTGGTATTATTTGTATTTTAATATGTATATAAAGCCTTTAAAAATCAAATGTTTTATTTTACCCCCTTTAAAAAAGAAAAAAAAAATAGCTCCATCTTTTAGAAAAACAATAAAATATGACATTTTTATATGGTTTCCACACTATGGAGCTTTAAAAAAGCACATTTTTATGGAAAATGCATTTTAAATTGGAGTCACTGTTACCTAAATGCAGAAAAACACAGATTACTATAATTAGTTAAGAAGGTTTGTGAACATAAATGAAAAGAAATCAAAATTAAGCATAAATTACATATGTTTTGTGCATTAATAAAGCAAAGGTTATGCTAAAATAAGAGTAACACCATCTGCAGTTGGTGACAGTTTGGTGTAATTAGTTTAATCATTTAAAATTTAAGCTAAATAGAAAAAAGTTGAATGCGCTAAAATTTTGGATTTGAAGCCATTTCCTCAACATGTTTAGAATAGAAGAGAAAATCCCTTTATTGTCCCACAATGGGGAAATAGTGATGTTTACAGCAGCAAAAGTTTATTGTAGACGTGCTCACATAATAAGAAATGTCGTGTTAACTAAACGTACTAATGCTTACTGAATAAGGAATTCCTTATCTTAATAGTTAACGTTTAAAAAAAAAAAATTCTGATATTAAAGTATGGGAATAAAATGTGTGGAGGCTGTTAACCAGGAGATAAAAAGAACCTAAACCAAATATTTACAGAGAAATCAGCGGTGAACATTTTCCTGTCTTGGATGGAAGCAAAATAAATTAAATAATAATACTCTTTATACTTCCAACCATTATTGTCTAGTGTTCTGCAGCCATTGCAGTTCTATTTTTTCTCATGTAAAATCATTTTATTACATTTTTAAGGCCACGAGGAGACCCAAAGCAGTCACAGAGATCTAATCTGTGAGGCCAGACATCATTTTGGGTCATCGACTATCAAAGTGCTCCTAAAACATCTCAGAGCCAACAGATGCTATCACTGTAGAGGACAAGGTTCAGGCTTTTCCATCCCTGCTTCTGACTAAAATGGCTCAGATGGTAATCTAAACAAAAGCACGCAGGCCAAAAAGGATACAATAGTAAATTCCTAAATCCACACTCTAAATACTCTATCCCACTTTACACTAATTGTTTCCAATTTACATTGGCGCTGTAATCCGCTGTACAAATACTGAAACCTCCACTTATACTCTTTGCTTTTTTTCGAAAGTGCCACAGCACCACAGATTGCTGAGTGAACTGCAATGATTCATCGCCTTGCAGCTGTTTTACACAACCACCAGCAGGGGGCGCCAGGCACCCACTAAACAGCTGGAATCAAGGTGGTGAGGTACTAACACCTGGTGGCAGTGTTTGGAATTTGTTCAGTCTCATATTTTTCTTTTAATAAAAAATAATGGAATCAAATGTGAATCAGATTTTATTTATGAAGGATTTTTGTCTGTCAATATAAACAAATAAAGGGTGAGAAATGAAGAGGTAAAAAAAATCATGTAACACAGATTCCTAGATCCTTATCCTTATAGATCCTTATCCTTATCATAGTTTTATAATTAAGAACCCTCTGTGAAAAAAGAAAAAAGAAAAACTTAATTGAATAGAAGTTGTCTGAATTAACTTTAAATATCATCTTGTTAAAATCATATTTTTTCAAACAATTGTTTTAATTGTATATTAATTCTAACAATAAGTGTTGATTATGGCAAACAAATTTACATAAAGTCAACTTCAAGCCAAATTTAAAGTACAATTATGCTACAGATGTAATAAAGGAATCATGATTAATTGATTATTGTTATAATCATCAACTAATTCAGAAATTGATTAGAAAGATTTTATTTTGTATACACAAGTGTGAAAATATATTTTGCTAAGAACAGCTCTGTAGACAATTTCATTGTTTTAAAGTGTATTCTTGAATAACAGTAAAAAAAATATATTGGTTACATAAATTAAACATTAACTGGAGTATAGATACTCTAAAATACGCCTTTAGCTGACAGAGAAACCAACTTATAGCAGTAGTTCTATTAAAATTGAAAAATAATATAAAAATTTTGCATTTAAGATAAAAACATTTTTTTCTGTCAATATGTTCTATCCAGAACACCTCTAATGGAAAAAAAATTAGTTTCATCTTGTTACATTTTGTAAAAAAAATTTCTTTAAGAAACCTTTGGCTATCCGATTATTAATCGAAAAAATTCGACAGGTTAATCGATTAGCAAAAATAATCATTAGTTGCAGCCCTAAATTAAAGTTAAAGTTAGGGCTGCAACAAGTTTGCTTTCAGCTGTGCTGCTGCCATCAACACCTTTGTTTATAGATGTTGGAGATCGGCCTGTTTTCCAGTGTGGTCCTGTTTCTCTGACTGTGACTGGCTGGATGTGCTCTCTTCATCCTCTGACATGGAAGCTCGCTCGGAGCTCGTCTGCCTGGCTGTGTGTTTCCTGGACAGGGACGCCTTTTAAAGCTGCTTTTTGTATCTCTGCTTCTGTTTCCTTGAACCCCAGTCGGCCTCGGCAGATGGCCGATCACACAGAGTCTGGTTCCGCTGGAGGTTTCTTCCTGTTTCTTCCTGCATGCTTAGTGTGAGAAATTGCATCCGAGTCAATGAGTCGATGCAATCAACTGGTTTTCCTTAGATAGAAAACTTTGAATCCATTTGACTGTATGATCTGGTGAACTGTAAAGTGCCTTGAGATGACATGTGTTGTGAATTGGCACTAAATAAATAAACTGAATCGAATTGCATTGAAAAAAAAATGGCAAAACCAAAAAATATTACGTTTTCCAGTGGTCAAAATATGTCTACTTTAACATCAATATGACATCAAACACTGATATCAAATTCTCATCATAATCAGTTTGACATCAATCCTTTGACATAAATTTAAAGTATATCAAATAATGATGTCATTTTGATGTTCTTTAAATGGATGCTTCTTTAAAATGTCACTCAAATAATTCTATTGATTTTTTTTATGTCAAACCTTTGCAGTAAAATTATTTATTTTCTTGTTAAAGACTACTTTTAGGTATTTAAAGACTACTTTAGAGGTATTTATTTTTGAAAGCAGGCAGACAGAGACAGAGAAGGGGTAGACATGCATGAAAGGGCAGACCTGGACTCAAACATGTGACCACTGGGTCAAGGACCAAAACCCGTGTTCATGGTTGCATGCTTAACCCCTGCTCCACCGCCTCGCCTTCAGATAAAATAACTCAAAAGTATGCACAGATGGAAAGAGCCAGCTTCTAATGCAAACTGAATTCTCTTCTCTTAGATGAACATGTGGTCTCACAGGGTCTTTATCCTCATTAAAAAATGTTTGTCCTGCGATATTAATTTACCTAAAGTAAACCAGTTCTCTTTGAAATACATACAAGACATTGAATGAGAAAATCCTTTTCTCTACAATATTTTGCTCTATAATTGCTATATTGCTTCTATAGTCCTCCCACAGCTTGCCCTCTGAAATATCAAATATACAAGTATAACAAAACATTTTTATTCTCATCTGAACGTATATTGATTTAAATTACTTTATTTGAAGAGACTCATATTCACAGGCTTTGGTCCTTGATGCAGAAGTCACAGCTTTGAGTCCCAGTCAGCTGACTTTTTCTGCGTGTCTTCATGCATTATTATTTGAGTCTAATGACCAAGAAGCTTGACGCTGAAAAATATGTCAAAATTACTAAATTTAGTTTTCTATGCAGCAGGCTTTATAGGTATGTTTCAAACTGTGAATTGTACCGACAGAGAAAAGGCTGACCTTAACCTTTGGCTGTGTTCTTTTTAGTTTACATTTTTATCAAAGGTTAAAACATTTACAAACTGTGATATATAAAAATAGTTACATATGTTTAAGTTTCTCTATCTGAAGGTGGTTAACAATCATGACTTAAGATG